ACGCCTCCAGGGCGGACTTCCTCTCTTCTGACTCCTTAAAGTAGCTCCAGTTCAGCAGCTTTGGGAAATACTGCAGGTCATTTCAGGAAGATGTCCAACAAAAGTCCAAAAATCAAGATATGAGGAAATGTAAAGTTCTTTTTGTACAGTGTCTAATTTTCAACAGTTTCATCTGAAGAGGTTGCTCATTGTAACAGCTAAGATACTCTCTAACCTTTCCTTGTTTCTTCTCCGTTACATTCTTTTCCCATCAACTGCATCTTGACAAACCATGGAAGCTGTCATGAATTAAAATTGACCAATAGGTCAGGTAAAAAACAACATTATTGCAGGCACTGGGTTGTCAAGGAGTCACTCCATCAAACAGAATCTGGAGATAAACTCACATAAATCATCTCACACATAGTGACTGCCACAGAAATGGCTGCTGTGTCCTCATTGTCTGCGCTCTTAACATATCTAACAAAGACAAAATATTTTCTTGGCCTTATCTTATGTTCAGTATTGAATATTTAATTATAACTTTATTCATTATTTAAAACAATTTTTTTAGAGAAATTAGAAGATGTGAGTTGAGCCTTTGATTATGAGGATGAGAAGATCTGTGGGTTTTAGCTCTTTGGGAACATTAATAAATGACAGAAATCTAGATTAAGAAAGCCGGAATGCGACTAGAAAGAAAAATGACAAAGCTTTGAAATGCTGCCAGTATCACCAACTGCACTCCTCTGACACAGCTGATTGTAAGAGAAGCCGATAGCATAGCCAACTTAGGCCTTTAATAATTCATTTAGCTGGGCTATGATCTATCATTTTGTACCTTTTGACATGCAATATTGAAATTTAATATTGCATCAATACAAATGATGTACTGCTAGTCGTTGAAAGTGGAGAAAGGATGTGGATTGCACAAAGATCTCTGCCAATGTTTTCCTGCTCTGTTCTTCGTCCCGTTCTCTCTTTGCCTTTTCCACAATTTTATTGTACTATAGCGGAAAAAAAGGCATAAGAGAAACATCTGTCTCCCCCCAAACTCCCGCTTTACTCTCAGCTTTGATATGTGTGCTTGAAAAAATGACAACTTAAAAAGTTCAGGGAGAAAGTCTCTTGTTCAAGTCAAGAGAAGCTTGGGGAAGCGAAGGAGGGTACGCTGGGGGTGTAAGTGAGTAGCAGAGGGAACATGACAGCGGTGGCTGAGGGAGACGTCATGCGCTGTTAAAAGCTTTGACATGATTCTTAAGTGCGGTGGAATCCCAAGGGCAATACTCAGGCTATGAAAAGCAGCGGGAACGGAAAGCCTCTGTTGCAGTGTCAGTCTCGTCTCACCCCCAGACTGCTTCGTTTGAGCTGTCGGTTCAGTAAGATACGGATGCACTGATAGGCAACGCTGGCTGCTGTCAGTCTGAAGTGGATGACACCAGTGGTGTGTTGATGCTTTGTCTCCACGTGTTTCCTCAGCCCAAAATGCTGCTGCCTTTTATGTGTCTTGCAGTACAAGGCAACTTGGGCGAGTCACTTTTTTTTCTCTCTTTTTATTTTTTGCTTCTGTCTGTTGTTTTAAGTGTCTGCTTACAAGCCGGCTGATGGAACCACACTGACTACGGGATGTGAGCCAACAGGGCTGTCCATGATCCGATGAGTTTGGCCCTGCAGTTCAGTGTGTTTAGAAAATCTGAATTTCTGGAACTGGAAATAAATTTTGTATTTCCCATAGTGGTCTCCTTTCCTAAACCACCAGGGTTAGATTTTTTTAAAAGGTCTCCACCTATTCTCCTTAACTAGTTGTTGCTTATTCAATAAAGTTTGGTAGAAATTTACTGTAGCGTACTGAAAAAAAAGCATATCCTGTGTAATTATTGTCATACTAAACTTGTTTGTGAAAAACAAATCATATTGAGAGTCCTGTAGATCTGTGCAATCCCCTTCAAACAGGTAGCCTGGTGCTTTTTGAAGCTTTGGCATATTCTTTAGAATAAGGAATTTCTAGGCACCACAATGACCCAAACAAACAAATGAGATCTCTCATAAGAGTCACTTTAAAAAACCCAAGTTGTTCAAAGTGCTGCAAATGATTAATTAATTGTTCCAGATAATACAACAAATGATTTAAATATATTTAGGAGAGTTAAGGTGAAATATCTTAGTTATTTTGATCGACCTCTCTTAAGAACTCCCATTAGTGAAGTTGCTGGTTCCACAGTTCTGCTACATTTTATGCAACAGATCAGAGCTGTCTGACTAACTCTGTGTTCAACACTGTGACTTTGGCTGAATCAGTGACATCTTGAAGGTTTTTACAAACCAGCATCATCCTGTCACAAACCCACGGGTGTGTATGACTGTCACTGACGCTGCATATTCTTCCGCGCATTAGCATTTTTACTATAACTACGTCATGTAAGCAAATGTTGTAAGAGAAGAACAAATAATTTTAGGACTGTTACTAATGGCTGCTGTCACCATGCAAGGACCCACTCATGGAAAAAAGGCTCCTCAGTGGAAATCGCTTCAAAACAAGAAGTATTTGCATCTCTACGACAGAGCTCTTTACTACAAAAAACAGAAGAAAAAAAATCCAAGGAATTGTGGACAACAGCTCACTGTTGTTCGTTCTTGTATAGCTTCCAAGAACCTTGACCTTTCGCTGTGCCCTTACACCGCTCTGAACATGGAGGAAGTCTGCCATGCTTGTAGGTGTCTGGGTATGCCAACAGTGGGAAAGAAAGGCACAGTGAGGGAGAGAATTAGGTGCAGTTGGGAGGTGCCTTGGGTCGCCATGGGTCATGGTGTGCCTCCCTGGTCACAGCCTTATGTCAAGGCTTTATTACTCCACCTGCCAATGTCCTGACCTGCTGTATGAAGCACTGTCTTCTCTCACACTTTCCAGGAAAAAGGTGCCTAGTGAAAACCAGACAAATTACGTTAACATAACATTAAGAGTATTGTCTGACTAACAAACCCCAAAACCACGGAGAAAAAGATTATTACAGTAGAAGCATTTTAACTTTTTTTGCATTAAGATCAGTGATGTGATGACAGAGGCTGGAGGAACTACATTAAGCGAGATGTTTGATGCACTACCTGAGGTAAACCATGGAATGATCTGCATAATGATGTGAAATATTTTTACTACTGGATTCAATATAAGGAGCTCTATATCTAACTGATTATATTATGTAAAGTCAATGATATTGCTTGCAGTTGATTTTTTCTATACATGAGTGCGATCTGTGAAAAATTCTATAGAATGGTTGTCAGGATATATAATTTATTCTCTTCCTGCCCATCTTAAATTTGAAGAGGGTTTTTTTGTTTTTTTTTTTACTGATAATGCACTAAAATTAGTGGAATAATTAATTTATTGAAAATAGGAAAGTGAATTGAATAAATCTTCAATAAAATGTGTAATTTTGGAGAAAGTTGTCGGAGGAAAGTAACGAGTTTGAAGGTAATGAGAGTAGATTTGGAAAACACATTAAAACACTAGAAACCAGCCAGACACAAATGAGTGCAACCAAAACACACCACGACTGCAGCACTATGTCTAATGACTGTTTCTGTTTTCCATTAATCTTTTGATTCACTTAATCTAAATGACATTTTACCCCCAAAACAATAAACATCTGTTTATTCATATTCCAGATATCCAGGTTTGCCATTTTTCTGTATGTCAGAAAAAATATCCAGACTTAAAACAATTAAAAGTAATGCATATAGGTATAAAGTGCACATGCAAGCATGACAATTATATATAATATGAAGCCCTTATTATTTATGTTTTTAAAGATGAAACTTTGAATAATCTAATATCACCCAATAAAAAGCACTTTCTATGTTTAAAGCCCTTTGGTGTTTGAATAAATTCAAATACACATATAGATCTAATTCATCACTGATTTTGAAGCTTTAACACAATTTTTTTAATCATATCTGGTCAATTAACTTCCTGTAATTTACCAAATACAGGAAGTTAAATCAGCTGGTATGAAATAATCTCCCAGTGGAACTAGAACTTTGTCATCAGTATTAAGAAATTATTGACATTAATCAAGCTCCTATTTCTCATTCAAAAGTTACTTGTAAGTTAGTTTGTCTTATTTCAAGTGTACAAAGATATTTGCACTAGAAACTAGACCAAAAATACTTGGCAAGATTTTGTGTTTTTACAGTGTGAAGAACCATAATTCCCATTGTGCTCTTCTATGCCTCCATGGAAATCTTTTTGCTTTTATGAGAATAAAAGAAAATTCCCTCTTTATCTTAATTTGAGACAGGTTTCAATCAAATGTTATAAAGCTTGGATAGGTTCCTTTTTCTCTATATGTCTTTGGTCTTTCTGGATCTTTAGTTCTTTCTTTAACCGTTTACTCAAAAGCTTTTTTTTTTTTTTTTTTTTTAATCTTGCTTTTTTTGCCCCGTGCCTCAGGGGTGCATTTGGCAGGTCAGCCCCTCAGCGGGTGAGGAGTTGTGGGTTTGGTGACCTTTGTCTGTCATTGTTTTGCTCCTCACACCTCACCCAGGGAGTAGGAGAAGAAGCTTAGTGTATCCACCTGCCACGGACCTTAGCATCGTAGCTCTACATATTGTCGCGGGGCGGGGGTGTTTTCGGCGTGCCAAGAGGAACTGAGACGGTCCCGAATGAATCGGTGCAGGCAGTGAGCAACCGAGTTGGTCCAAATGACACACAAAGAGTCGAACTGAAGAGGTAATATCAGAGTGTGCTGGGATCTTTAGCTAAATTGGTTGAGCAGAATCAAAAACGAGTAGCTAACAAAAGCAAAAGGGACTCCAGATTCCAAATGTGATTTGTGTTCACGCACGCGGCTCTGCGAGATGAATCAAACACACCTTGAGTGAGCGAGGGGATGGAGATGAAATGAAACAACCAAACGCTTGCCTCCGCCGGGGCCTGATTGAGTTCAGGTGGCTGGAAAGTGTCTCACCCAGGGCTAGTTGTCAGTGAAGGATCTGCTGTCTTCTTATCTCTCTCTGTGCTGCAGGGCTAACCGGTGAGCATCGGGCGCGCCGCCTTTGACGGATGCTCATGCGCCTCCTGTGTTGTCGGGGGACAGGCCGCTGACACTCTTCATCTTTCACCGGCAAAGTCTGAGGTAGAAATGAAGATTGATGCCAAAAAGTGGCGTGGCAACCCGTTGGCCTCTCTCACCATACATAATCATTTGCGCGTCCATGACACACGGATGTATAAGCGCACGCGTGGACGGCGATACGAGGCGCCTCGCGTGTTCACACAGGAGACTGCTTCCTCTCTGTTATTAGAGACATGTGATCTGATTGCATTTGATCTCCAAATAAACAGGGAATCAGTCCATCTCCTTGGTGAAGATGGCAGATGTGATGGACGAGCGCATTAGCATCGAGGACAACATTAGATTTGCTCAAAATTATTGATCTTTTGTTTGTGAGCCAAGGCAACAATAAATAACAGTGCATGGAAGATGTGACTCATTATCACCATGCCAAAAGCCTGACAGACCTCTGTCAAAGCTCCCTCTCTCTCTCTCTCTCCCCTCTCACCCCTCCTTCTCGTCCTCCTTCCTTTCATCTCCATCACTACAAACCAGTTTAATCTGTTTTTAATCCTCACTTCCATTCTGTCACTGGTGGCTTTAATGCGAGGCCTCACTGTCACTATCTGATTCCCTTAAAAATTTTTAATCCTCACTGATAACCCTGTGTTATTACATGTTGCTCACACACACACACACACACACACACACACACATGCACACATGAGAGGCAGGACACTCACACTCACACACACACACATACCCACGCGCACACACACACACACATGCACACACATAAATATGTACACACAGCAGCGTTTAGTGGCTCTCTTAGTGTTTTATTCCTTTTTACCTTCTTAGTGAAGAAAAAATCCTTTTATCACACAATGGGTAATTTATATCCATTACCAGCGTTTTCAATCCTTTTCAGCACGGCTGTCACTGCCTTTGGCACACTCGTGATTAATGTGATCTAATAATAGTCTGCCATTATATTTCCTTTAGTAAAACATGTACCAACATCCTATTCAGCTCCACAAAATTCATTGCCCCTTAAAACATTTTCCCCTTTTCGTTTGAAAGGCAAGATTGCTTTTTTTCTCTCTCTCTCTCTCCTCGTTCTTGTTTCCTCCTTCTAGGTGATTATTTGTTGGGGCAGGGTGGTGGGGGGGGGTGAGGTGGTGGTGGGTTAGTAATGGCACTTGCATGTTTTCAGACACTTAGGAGAATGATGAGATTCATGATCCAAAGTGGTTTGTGTGGATGCAAATATGTGTGTGGGTGTGTGTCTGCAGGTCAGAATTGGGTGTGTGCCTCTCACACTCGTAGCTCCTGTATGGGTCATGAGTGCCACACTGTTGAAGATCCCAACACCTTCAGGCCAGAAGTACATTTTACTTTTAGTAAAGAATTTTGCCAAGAATCCCTCCCCATGGCCAGATTTTGATGTGTCTTTTTATAAGGTGGTCCTAATTCCTAAAAGCATTGGAATGTCTTTTTTTTTCTTCATATGAGTAATGGTTTACAGAAAAAGTTAATGTTTGATCAGTGGTTTTAGATTTTAATCTTGAGATTACCAAATTAAATCCAAACTGTGAGACCTTATGGCTCTGAAGAACTGACAGTTTTCTGACGTTGTATTTTTAGCTCAGTCTTGAAACCTAAGTGAAGCATGTTTTAAAAACGACCTGGTACCACATAACCATTATGGTGGAAAACATTTAGGAACGTGGAAAGCCAAGCCAAGTCTCACTGAGCTGTGGAAAATAAAACACTTACCTGAAGCTAACATGCTAACAGCAAGTGGAAAGCGCCTTGCCAGAATGTTGCCAATTAAAGAAGAAATATCTGACTGCTCTCGCACCCCTACAAGCTTTAATTAAATAGGTTAATATCTCAGTCTTTGATTCAAACAGCATTCTTCAGAGCAGCTTAACCTTTTAAGATGAGCTGACTGTTGCTTTTAGAATGACAACTGGAGATGTTGCATTCAGCTAAGATTCAGACAGTGGAATTCACCTTCATTTTGGGTATTGTCAGGGCAAACCCACAGAAAAACAAAATAATAAATTTATAAAACATTTTTAATTGACTTTTTTTTGTCAACATAAAGCTACTCCAATGCCAGAGAATAGAATCAAACTTATTTTACTCCAAATCTACCTAACATGTTTTGAAGAGAATTTTCATTTCATAAAATTAATTTTAATAACAATACCTAGTTTTAATTTCTGTCCACTATGGGCCTCATCTGAATATCTTGAAGGCTGTGATGTTTTAATGGACTTCACCAAACATCACCCTGGTTTTGAATGAGCTATATCTGAAAAATCCAAAATGAAAGCAATTTGTAGCATGCTAAGCAATTTCCAGCTCAGTCACTTTAAAATTATTTTGGGAAAAATTATTGAAGCATTTGTATTCTTTTTATTATTTGCCACTTCTACATTTCCTAATTAGCTTACTGTCTTAAAACAGTTAATGTGTTGAAGATTTGTGGATGATGTTTTTTGCTTTCAGAAATGTTTAAATATAAGGAAAAAAGTCTTTAATAGTACACTTTCTATTTAATTTTGAATGTACGGCATTTATTATTCTCCTATCTGGATAAGTAGGAAAATAAGCGTAAGAAAAACAAAACACGCTTCATTCTTTGTGCTACTAAATGATCTGAGGAGAAAATGAGAGACTGAGTTTTATCACAGGGATTAAATGTTAGAGTTGAACATAATCAACACTACAAGTGTTAGCTTTAACAGTCTTGGCATAGCTGTATTGGTTTTTGAATTACTGACTGTGAAACCAATCAGATTTTTAGACCATGAACACTTTCTGAAAACAGGTGACAATTTTTTCAACCGTTGCTCCCTATTGCATTTTTGCTCATATTTCTGTAGCCATTGGATTTTTTTTTTAAATATTGTGTTTGCAGCTGACATTTAAAACATACTGCCTAACGAACAAATTTATCACAACTATTTGTGTTTAATGGGATGAATATCAAGCCAAACATGTCAGGAAACTTAAGTCTGGAAAAGTATGTAATTATGGAAAAAAAAAAAAAAAAGTGTCAAAACTCTGCAGTTTAAATCAGAGATAGTCTGGAGTGGACGCATTAGCAGGTGAACATTTAGCTGAGGTTTCTTTTTGTTTTTATTAAACTCTAAATCCCCTTTTTTGTTTTCACATTCTTCCTCCCTTCTTTTTGGAAAAGCACCCAAAGCAGAGGGAAGACGCTGTCTCCCTAGAAAGCCCGTCGGATTATGCGTGCGTGTGTGAGTGTGTGTGTTTGTCGCTTGGGAGGTGGTCCAGCAGTGGGGTCTGTTCCGTCCCAGCCGGACAGCCTGAGCCAGTCTGCCACTCATGGGGGCACGCTGTAGATGGGGCGGCGCCAGCACAGACACCCGCTCACACACATGCTCACCCAAATTCACTTCCCTGACGGTACAAGTAATACCTGGATTTCACACACATACATAAACACACACGCACGCACGCACGCACGCACGCACGCACGCACGCACGCACACACACACACACACACACAGTCCTGGCTCTGGCTCACATGAAGGGTTAACCCTTACTGGGTTCTCAGACTTGTATCCAGGATGAACAGGTGGTCCCACAAAACATGGGCATTCATTTCCTCATGACTTATCCCTGTCTGTGTGTGCGTGCATGTGTGTGTCTGTGTGTGAGGACAGAAGGGTAAATGTGTGTGGAGGACAAATGTGTGTAAGGATGGGGTAGCTTTTGTAAACCTTTTGTGATTTTACTTTTCCTCTCGTGGCGAGCTGCTGCCTGAAAGAACATCACAAGTTTCACAGGGCGAGGCGGCGCTCAGATATGTGAATGTTTGCGTGTGTGCGTGTGTGTGTATATGTGTGTTCCTGACCCCGCAATCCAACTGCACCAAACACAGCTGTCAGCACTTCACATCGTCGCTTTCTCCCCTTCTATCTGCCCCCTTTTCCCACATTTTTCTTCATTTGAATCATCCCAACTCAGATCCTTCCTTTAAAGACAACTTCTACTGAGCGGCTTCTTGCTCTCCTTCACACATCATTCCCTCTACACACCCCCACTGCCTCAAGTGAGCTTTTCCCAGCAGAGAAAATCGAAGGTAAACCTCTTTTGAGGCAAAAAAAAAAAAAAAAAAACATTGTACTGCACTTTGGCTGTTTAATATATCACTCTCCAATAGAGGAGAAGATGGAGATGGAGAAGATGAAAAACACACTCACCTGACCGCTGTGATAACAGGTCCTGCTCACAGGATCATTTCACCACTGTTCCAGACTACGGGTGGGCATTTAGCACATTGTTTATTGTGAAGAATTTCTTATCATGGTGAGAATTTTGATTCATTACAATAACAAAAAGTTTTAACAGCTATTAAAACTGTCTGTTACTGGTTTTCCAGTGAGAGAGCATAAATAAATATCAATAAATTAGAAAAAAAAAAGATTAAATGCATTTACTGTGTGCAGTTGGTGATAAAAATACTTCTCTTTGAAACTCCTTTGCAAACATACAAAATCTTACCAAGTGTTTTTGTCTAGTTTCTAGTGCAAATATATTGAATTAATACAGAATTTAAACAACTTAAAATAAATATTTCAGCAAGATAAAAAAAGCTTATTTTGACTTTAGTTACTGTTTATATTGATACACAAATGCTAGTTCCACTGGTAGTTTTTCACTTAAAACATGAAACATGTATTGCTACAAGTGAGAAGATCTGCCAGTGGAACTAGTACTTTTAAATCTATATTCAATCAGTCAATCTAGTTTATTTATATAGCACATTCAGCAGCATGACAGTTCGAAGTGTTTTACATTGTGAAAACATAAAAACATCATAAGCACATTATACTGTCAACAATTTTGAAACCAGTAATATACATTGCGTTTTGTTGAGTGCCATTGTTAAAATCATCAATACACATCAAATATGTTCATCAGTGTTCCATTTATTAGAGTTCAAAGGTCATTCTAAACAGGTAGATTTTAGTTTTAATCTAAAGGACCTCAGTGTTTCAGCTGTTTTAATGTTTTCTGGAACTTTGTTCCAGATTTGTAGTACATATTCAAGAATTAATTACTAAAAACAATCTCATATATCTTACTGAAAACCAACTTTTAAGTTAGTTTTATCTGTTTTTTATGTGTTAAAGTAGTTGCACTGGAAACTAGTTGAAGCCCGTCCCCGTTGGGAACACAGTGATCCAGCTGATCAGTGTCTCTGTCCCACTGAGCCCAGACGCTGCAGAAGTGGATGCAAAAAAGAATAAAAAAACAACCAAAAAATCACATAAGAGCAGGTAAACAAAGTGAGAAGGAGAAAAGTGGATGAAGCTGAGGAGACAAACACAGGAAGAGCTGAAAGAAAGAAGTGTCTCTCTGAGTCAGCAGGTTTAGGTGAAGTCTGATTAAACGAGGTAGGAAACCACTTGGGGTAGTAAATAACGGAGGTGTCAAAATGTTGCTTAATGACCTGGATATCTACTGCATAAAATATGTATCTGCAGATCTATGCAGAAGCCGCATTTTTCCCGTTGATTCTTTAATGTGTGTGTGTGTGGGGGGGCTTAATGTTTAAAACAACTTAGTGCAAAAACACAAGTTCGCTGGTAAGGTAAACTTGACAGAATACAGTATTCTGTGGAATGCCACAGCCATTATTGTTTCATGGTTGTGAGAAGGAAAATGTCTTGAAGCAGCATGTGAAAAAGTTTGAATCTATCAATTGGAGCATTAAAATGTGATTACAAACAGCTGAATTAGTATAAGTGAATGTTTACTGAGATGTTAGTTGTAGTCTTAACGTTTCTGTTAAAAAAAGAAACAAATTTAATAATTTTTTTTAAATTTTTCATCTTATAAAAATTCCAGCATTCAATCATACACCTCTCACTGCCCTAAGGTGGGTACATCAGTAACGTAGATGCACATTCTCCAACCTGTAGGTGGCAGTAATGTTCTGCTACCGCTAAGTAAAAGCTCAGGAGCTAACATTAGCTCCTGTGAGCTAATGTTAGCTAACATTAGCTAACTTTAGCTATGATAGCAGACCAGTACAAGGCCTTCAGGTAATAAGTCTGCGTCTGACGTGACTTAAGTTCATGAGTCTAGTCGTAGACTCAATCATCAGACTAAATTTATTTGAATTTAATGTAAACTATTGCTATATGAATAAAATGCAAACATGATATGTTAGTCATGTCCCACCACTACATTTTGTCTGAAATTTATTGCTTTACCATATTTTAATTTCAGAAACAATCTATTCATGACATATGCTTTTCACATTTACATAATTTTTTTTGATGTATGAAAATCAAAAAGATTTTCATAAAGTACAAATTCAGGTGCATACATCACTTTTTTTTTACTGCAATCTTTGCATAACTTCTGATGAGATCTGCATAAAGATCCAAATCTTCATCCCTGGCATTAGAAACAAAAATACTCAGACCAATGTTTGCTGGTAGGAGTTGACATCCCATTGGAATCAAGATAAAAAGAAATCCACATTATCGAAATGCAATTAAAGTAAAGGTGAAAGATTTTCCCAAAATATTTGCAGTTTTCTTTTCTTTGAGAATATTTAGTTTTTATTTATTTTTTACTCAGCTTTCCAGCTCCTGGTTGAAATTAATGGAAAAAGAGTCAGAGCAAAGGGAGACAAGCGTGGAAAACTCATTCAATCACACCATGCTTATTGGTTTTTAGGGTGGAAAGCGGTAATGGGCGTGCAGGAAACTGGCTTCTACTTTACCATATCTAAAAATTTCTGTATTTCTAGTCCATATGGATACACTTCAAACTGATTTTAAAATCCTTCACTTTGGAAAGTGTTCTAATAAATCGTTTTTTTTGTTGTTGTTTTTTTTGTTTTTTGTTTTTTTGTTTTTTTTGTCCTTCAACTACTCTGCATTTGAACAAGTAAAGCAAAAACAGCAGGGGAAAAAAACTATCAGTTCTGATATGTGTCCATATGTGGACAGGGGCCTTAGGGGATTTTGAAGAATATCAAGTCACCAGTGATGGAACCGTTTTGAACTTAGTGGGTTTTTATTGGTATCAAAGAGGTAAAATCCAGTGTTTTCTGTCAGGATATACTGTCAGAAAAAAAGATTGGACTACCATCACTTGAATCATATTCAATGATCTGCTTTCCTGAAGTGAATGAATCTTCTTAAGGGCAGACAGAGAGTCTGCGTAGTGTAGCTCTAAACTGAGCTGTTAGTGGAACAATGCAGCAACATTTGAGTAGTGTGAGTATTTATTCTTTTGTGTGTCATTTACAGTGTGTTAAAGTTGGTAATGTTGGGGAGTTTTCAACTGATGGAAAAAAAGCTCTGCCTAGCTGATGATCAAATTATGTAAGCTTCAGCATCAGATGTGTTGAAGGGTAAGTGACCCTAAAATGGAGAAGACAGGCAGAGACAGTGGATGGATAGATGGAGGGTTTTCTTGTTACCTTGACCCTCTGTACAAACAGTTCCTTAACTGTTTAGTCAATGACCTTACACTCTGGTAAAAAAAAAAAAATGCTTTTTTGTCTCATTGCAGAGTTTGTATAGCAATAAGGGAGAACATAAAGATGTATAAAGAGAATGTCTTTCATTTTAAAATTTATTTCACTACCACAATTTACAGCCGGTCTACTCTCTGGATTTTATTTTGCTCATTCTTTTTTTTTTAAATATCCGTTATTTGGAACCCTAACCCCTATAACCCCTACGCAGTCAGTCACACTTTGAAAATGTACGATGAATGGATACTAAATGTTCAAATAAACAGTGCCGTGGTTAAAGCAGTTTAAGATTTGAACATGCTCATGGAGTTATGTCAGCTCATATTGTATTATGTTTTGCATTAAAACAAGGAAGAGAATGTATGAAACACTGAAAACCACCAGGTTTTCTGTCTGGGGAAGGAAAAGCCCTTCCAGATGAGGAGGGTCCTACAAACTGTGTGTTGTGTGTTGAAAGAAACGGCGACAATGATGATGAACTCAGCACTCCCCTTGTTCTCTCCTTCTCTCTTTCTCTCTCTATCTCTCTCTCCTCTCTCTCTCTCTTGCAGGGCTCTCTGTGCAGCGGCGACTAGAGCGGAGCTGAAGCTGAAGCGGGCTTAACCGGGCTAAGTACTCTGTCTGAGGAACAACCCCCTCCCAACGTCTGAGGTGACTGTCTGAGGTGACTCAGGGCTTTGAGGGAAGAGAAAGGGAGGAAGTGGAAGAGAGAAAAATGTGTGTGTGTGTGGTGGAGGGATTTGAGCTAACTTGAATATTTGTTATTATTGTTCACATGAATGGAGGAATTTTAAGTGCGGGAAACAGGAAGGAAAGACGACAGACAATGAACAGAACGCAGAATGATGAGGAGAGGAGAAGTTACAATGTTGGTTACTCACTTTACCATGCACTGTGTATGTGTGCATGTGTGTGTGTGTGTGTGTGTGTGTGTGTGTTGGGAGGGGAGCAGAGGGGTGACGGTTACAATAAGGCAGAGGCTGATTGTATTACATATTCATCACACAGACATAACACACACACACACCCCACACACACGAGTCAGCTTTAAGTGGACATACAGACGGACCTCATGAGCATATCTACAGATAATTCCTGTTTAATCTCATTAGTCCTCCAATGTAGTAGTTTGTTTGTGTTTAACCGTAGACAAGCAGTGCCTTTCATTGCTGTGCACTGAACTTAACGCTGATACGCACATCTGTTTGACGCGAGCTAAAATAAAGATGGGAGTCCAGAAAAGTAGAAAGAGAGAGAAGTGTGGCAGATGGAACCTTTAACATCCTGACACGGTTATCCGTCTGACAGAGCAAAGTGGAACCCCCTGCAGGCCCACGCCTCCAGGCTCCGGTACTCTCCAAGGATGCAAGGTTAGTTCACCCAGCAGCTATTTCTTGTGGAGCTGTGGAATTGCCTTTGACAGAGCACTGGGAATATCTAGCCAAGGTGCGGATGAACATGTTGCGTTCGTCTGTTAATAGCAAGGTCTCGTATGTTATTTTGGTTGATTGAGATGACGGTTCTTCTCACATCTGACTATCTCAGTTACTCTTTTTTTCCCACAGTTTGGGTATAATGATAGATGCATGTGCCCGGGCATGTGGCTGCGTGCGGTCGTAAATTTAGACATTATGACAAAAAAAGAAATGCGTGAATAATTTAAAACCTCCCTAATTTTTCTTATGCCATTCTTCAGATTCCAACTGCATTGCTGTGAGAAAAGCATATGTTGGAGAGTTCAGGAGGATTTTGTACGGTGCCTGTGAACTGTGAGTGATGGCAACCAGCCGACTGCTCTCTCTCCCGTCTAACCGTGCGAGAGTCCCACGCGCCCAGTTCCCTTTCTCAGAACTAACACCGCGGCGAATTGAAACAAAAAAGGTCACATATTTTATTTATGTGTCAAAAGTGTGGTGAAAGAAGGGCATGGGGGGTGGGGGGAGACGGAGCAGAGTGTATCACTCTATCTGTTGGCTGGTATCATTCCATCTGTGCAGATCAATTCTCCCAGACAGGGAGAGATGAGATAGGAGCTTCTACACGAAGGAGGGAGGGAAGGAAGAAATGCTAGTGATATTGATTTATCAAAGAAGTATAGCGTTGCGTGATTTGCTTAAATGTCCACAAAAAGCCAAGCTGTCAGAGCTGGGTATGCATTTGGCCACACAGATGTGCAATTGTGGATTTTCTCCTGTGACTAGATGTATACGACATACAAATGCATCTAAAACCATCTGTTGTACAGTGACGATTTGACATGGCATTCCTAAAGCCCTTCCACCAAAACATTGTTGCTAACCTTGTAGCTCCCATGACCTTAACATTTTCTTATGACGACGTGGGAAAAATTGTGCAATCTTTGAAAAGATATAAAATATAACAAAGCACAAAAATCTGCCTGACTGGCTGGAATTCCTGTATTTCAAGAATGACTCTACTGCAACATTGTACTCCGTTGGCTCAAGGAGTCTCCCGGTTATTCTGTCGGTCTCATCCCCTCCTGAATAAGTCCTGGGGAGCTCCTCAGCGCTCCGCGACTTATACACCTGGCACAAGGACAGGGAGTGGAGGCAGAAATGAGATTAAAGCGCAGTTAAAGAAAACTGTAGAAAAGAGCAGAGAGAGTGTGCACGGGGCCATAAAAGGGATAGTTTAACCATTGATCGAGAGCAGTGGTGGAAATGGCAGCAGTAAATCAATTTTATCTTGGAGCAGCTAAAGAGTGTTTTCTAATGAGGTTAATGCCACGTAATGGCTAAATTCCTCTGGTTAAAAGATGCCCTCAAGGTGGTGACGAGAGATAGATGTCGCCTTGGAAAGCTTAACACCTCGCTGTTCAGCAACAAGCCGAGGGAGGCCCTTTTTTTTTTTTCCTCCCAGGCAGTTTGTGCCTTAAATCACATTATTCCTTCATCCCTGCAACTCGTCTTAACATCAAATAGACGCTGGTTAACCTGGACTAGCCATTCACAATAACTCTATTTATCTTGTCCCCAGTTTTTATCTAAGAATTACAGCATTTACCACAAGTAATAGACAATGTTGTATGTCAACACAAAAAAAAAAAAATCGTTTCTGGAAACCCAGTCATCACCTTGGTGCTAGACGGCCCACTGTGAGGAATGTCATACTGGAATGTGCCGACGAAACCGACTGACAGAGCAGTAACAGCTTATTAATCCAGGCCACTTTTGGAAGGTAGAGCTTAGTATGTTTTAAAACAGTCGCGTTGAGGCAGTTTGGAGATGCATGTAAACACTGCAGCTACATCCATGTGTACACAGGGTTAAAACCAGAGAACCAGAAAGTGACATGCTAACAACAATGTAGAGTAAAGCTTGAAACGGCCCAGCTGGCAGGTTCTGAGCTCTGCCTGAGTTGTTACTTATTCAGCCCACTGAAGTTCACATCCATCTGAGGTTTGGAGGTTAAAAGGTTCAGTAGAAAAGTTATGACCAGTAATATTCGCAATACATTTGAAATGAGATATTTATATACTCTGTATCTATATTCTTTTTTTTTTCTCACTTAAACTTAAACTTTCCCTGTTTTAAGTCAGCTAAGGTTAACCAGATGACTTTTATTGGTTAAATACATGATTGAAAAATAATGCTTTATTATTATGTTCTTCAAAATTAAAAGTTTAAAACATTTTCTTAATATTTTTCAAAATTTCTTTTTAAAGTTCAATGCACAATATTTTGATGGGATTTTGTCACATTCCTTGTAACAGAACTGGTGTAGCTGAAATGCATTTTCAGCTCGGCCCTTTGCCTTTTATGGGACAGAGATCAGGACTGTGTGATGGCAACTCCAGAACATTAGTTCTTGAGTCACTTTGTAACTAATTTGGCAGAATATTTAGGGTCATTGTCCATTTGGAAGACACATTTGTGCTTAAGCTTTACCTTGCTGTCCAATGTCTTCAGGTTTTTTTTGTTAAATACTGAGATATAATGTTCTCTCCTCATGATGACATTTTTAGATTTTTAGAAGTTCACTGGTCCCTCCATGATGCAGCTACCCCCATGCTTTGTGGCTGGGATGGTATTACCGCCACTGAAAAAATTAAATATGCCTTCCACTAACTAGTTAGATCCCTTTGCCAACTTATTGCCAATATTAGATCAAACTAGAAGTTTTTCAATTGAATATGAGATTTAAAGTACAATAGTAATTCTTTTTTCTATGAAGTGTGTCAGATATTCCTATAGGGGAGAAGAAAAAAGTAAAAAAAACCAAAATGCTACTATCTCCATAACAAACATTTGCGTAGTGCTGTAAACCCAAAAAGACAAGCCGCCATCATGTCATTTTCTCAAAGACTCCAGACCTTCATCTATTCAAACTTAAAAGTTTCTTCGTAGCCCTGCATGATTATAGGAGGCTTCAGTAAAGGCATACCAGTTCTTAGCCGTTGACAGTTAGGAAATTAAATGGGTGGGTGAGTTTTCAGCAGTTCAAGAGTGTTGGTTCTAAACTAGAGCTTGTCTCAAGGTAATTACAGTGTGTAAAATGCAAACACAATACCAGCGTCAACCACCATTAGTTGATCAGCCAGCATCCTTCATTTTACAGTTTTGACTCCTGAAAGCAACCCTCCCCATGCTGGGAAGGGAGAAGTTCTTAGACAACTTCCAATTTAGCAACTGGAGAAAACTTTAGCCGATACTGTATGTGCAGGGAATCCCACGGCATCCGATATCAAGACTAATCACACGCAATACAAGCTAGCTCCCGCGCATGTAAGCAGACCCAGACATGTTAAATTATTACATTACCCAAATTACATTAGTTAGTAATGGAAGCATAAAAAATCCTCTTAGACTTCGGTGGAAGTGATCTAAAGAGTCTGTAAGCTGTAAACTAGACTCCTCTATAACATGGCTGATGGAAATGCAGCTCACAATCAGCGGGTGTCTTTTTGTGAATTGGACACATTAGGGGTGCACTCCACAACGGGAGAGGCTTGGAGAATTCATGGATTTCCGTCAGCAAGAAACTCTAAAGTAGACCCTTAGTGGTTCCGGATTTAAATCTAATGCTTCCTATGAAGACCTTTCAGTTGATGACATGCAAACGTGAAACAAATAAAGCCATCCCCCTACTGCCATACTCTCTTTTGAAGATGAAAAGTGCAAATAATATCAATTATTAAATTTAACTAAGTAAAGTAGTAGTTAGGTTAAGTCACTGTAATATTCCCTGAAGGATTTGAAATGTGGAAATCTGCCGGGTTGTGTGTCTGCGTGTGTGTGTGTGGAAACAAGCGACGCATGGCTTGAAACTTAAGGAAAGTTCATCTCCACAGACCTCTAGCATTGATCACTGGGGCCCTAAAGCTATTATCATGATCTAATTAGGTTTAACATAAGTCTGTGTCACGGCCCGGTGCAAGGCTGCCTTGTCCCCAATTCCACACTTTCACAGCACCCCTATTTAAAAATAGCTCACACACGACATGAATACAAATACTTTCTTTTTTTCCCAGTCATACTGAGATCTACTTTAATTTCAGACTAAAGGTCTGGGCCAAGAGAAATGATGTAACTCACAATACACTGAAGAAATGTGGGCTCGTGCTGACGTCCCGTCACCCAGACAATCAGTATAGGAAATGTTTCAACACCACTTTATTTCAAGAAGGTCTTTCAAAAATGCTTTCTTTAATTTCAGAATTTTGCTGTGAACATTTGAAATTAATATGAATTTCCTTTGATGTTAGATCACTCAATTGGTTTTATAAGACCTTGTATTTAAAGTATAAACAGTCAAGTTAAACAGAAAGTGCTCACTCTGTTGATTCTGTAGTTTGAATCAATAATTATGTTTTATACCAGATGACTATACTAAGAATATTTAAATATAACCCCAGATGTACAGATAAATTACATGCAGTTAAGATTTGCCTTTGTCTTTCTTTTATTTTTTTGAGTTGAAGCCATGTACTAAACTTGGTTTCAAAACTTTTGCTAAGTCTAAAAATCACTTGTTCTGTGATAAGACATACATTATAAAACTGAAGTCTAAGTGTGGGTAAATGTGATTGTTGAATTTCTGAATAAATGGATGGGGTTTATGTTTATCTAATTTATAACTGACTGAAAGTAATTTCTCAGTGTTCAGCTTAAGAACATCCCTTTGGTCATTATTATGATGCTAAGCTAAATATGAATATGTCATTGTTCTTGATTTAATAAATCAGAAGCATCCTTTATCAAGGCAATGTGATCATCACCGTCTGACCTGAAATATGCGGCTGAACTTCTGTAAACTGTTGTTCAATGGTAGTGATAAATTCAACTCAGTTTATTTATGTACAGCCAATTCACAATAAATGTCTCAAGGCACATTACAAAAAAAAGGTAATTTAAATTCAGTCATACATACACATTAATCCAAGTTATTAAATCAGGGCATTAAGTTCAGCTTATTATTGAAAGTAGATTAAAAAGTTTTCTGTTTAAGGAAACCCAGCAGATTGCATGGAGTCATTGACCTGCAGCATTCCCTCCTCCTGGACGGAAACATAGAGATAATCTCTTGCATTGTGCTGTTGACTACAGCAAGCCCTCATTCTAATTCTTAAAAAACTCACTTTTAACAAGAAGAAACCTCCAGCAGAACCAGAACCTGGCTCAGTACAGTAGGCCATCTAGAAAAGACAGACTGCGAATTTAATTATTTTTAATGTGTGTGTGTGTGTGTGTGTGTGTGTGTGTGTGTGTGTGTGTATGTATATATATATATATATATATATATATATATATATATATATATATATATATATATATATATATAATTATCGTCATCTTTTTTTAACTAAAGAAAAACATTTAAAAAGAAGATGTGCACACTTTTAGGATCTGCTGCATA